TCATGCCATTGCACTCCAGCCTGGGCAAGAAGAGTGAAACTTCATCTAAAAAAAAAAAGTCCCAGAATGTCACTTCTGCCTCAAGTGATGCATTTTTGCATCTAGTCATCAAAGCAGTCAGAGTTAGCCCAGATTCAAAGAGGTGAAGAATAAACTTCACCTCTCAGTAGAAGAGTGGCCTGCACCCAGGGAGGGAATAAATCCATGGTCCCTGTCTTTGGAGGCTGTATCACACCTGTCATTCACTGGCTCTGTGACTCTGAGCGTAGACACAAACTGGACTCAGTCCTGGGGCTGGATTCAATCTTTACAAAGATGTAAAGAGACACAAAGTGGGTCTCCTTTGTCTCCGCCCCACGTCAAAAAATGGCCTCATCTTGAGGGCTCACTAGTGGGAGCGTTTGGACCAGATACTCTCCCACGTTTCTTCCAGCCCTGATGGCCTTCAGAGCCCACAGTCATAGCCTCCCAACCGCAGAACCAAGGTCTGAGGGTCTGACCCAGACTCTGCCAGAGTTTGGCAAAGTCCACGTTTTGGTCAGGGGCTGCCTGCTGACCTGGGTAAGCTGGGAAAGCCAACCCTGAAACCATGGCCAAGTGGTGGCAGAGCTGGAAAAGGTGTTTCTCCCCGGAGGGGCCAGTTGGGCTAGAAAGCAAGGGCCGAGAGTCCACAAGCTCCCGTGGGCTTGGTGCTGTCAAGCAGGCTGTAGGAAGTAGGCTCATGTTTCAGCTCCTCTGCACCCTCAGTTTGGGCCTTTCAGAAACTGTAGCTCCTTTTTAAACCCAAAGGCCACACCAATATGGAGCCCAAGACAAAGCCCGAAATCAAAGTCAGAGCTTGGGGTTTGAAGTGACAGCCAGACCTGAACCAGAGGTGGCAGGAGAGTGAGGGGAACTTCCTGCAGCCGCAATCCCAGCCACCTCGTTAGTTCCAGGGAAGTCTAGCTTCAAGCTGGCTCCAGATGTCCTGGGCCCTAGAGCCCCCAACTGCTCCCAGTGGACTTGATGCAGGGTTGACCCCCTCAGCCCACTTTAAGGCACAGTCCAGCCAGCCAGGCTGAGCCACAGCCAGGCTGAGCCACAGTGGAGCTGCCACCCTTCCTGGTCCTCTCTTCAGCCCTACATAGCTGTGAGCAGGGCTGCAGGCCCCACCTCCTGGCTCTGCTCCAGTCGTGCTCATGTCACAACCCCTTGTTGCTGGAGAGGGGATCCAGGCTCCAGGGCTCAGCATGTGTCCTGCCTGTTCTCTCTGCCTTCCCAGCCTGCAGTGACCCTGCCCCATCTGAGCTTGAATCCCAGGTGAATCCCTGGGCTGCCTGGGCTTGAATCCCAGGTGACATGTGGCCAATGAGATCACCTGTTGTGGCTGTTTCTTCATCTGAAATACTACCCACCTCATAGGGAGTTGTGAGGGTCAGATAACCCAGGACATGCAAAGCACTTGGAACACTGTCTGGTCTAGCGTAAGCCCTAAACAAGGGCAAGCAATCATTATTAACCACCTCATTGATGCCTCTTGTGGGCCAAGCTGGGTTAGGCCCAGGGATTTGGGAGGGGAGGGTGGTAGAGGGGGGAATGAGGCCAAATCTGCTTCCCCAGGGCTCGAAAGAGTGGACAACCAGCTGGACTAACCAAAAAAGAGGACCCGGCCCCATCCTCTCAGAGCACCCCGGCTGCTGACCTGATGGGTCTCTGGATCCAGTGGTTGGTGGTGCTGTCACCTGCTGCTCCCAAGGGCCCTGGGCCTAAAGCCTGGTTCTAAGAATGAGGGGCTTTCCACCCTGGGGAGTAGTTTGATCATTTCCTGGAGAAATGGCTTGGCTGACGTAGACCCTCCCAGAAAGGCTGTGAGAAGCCCGACTCCCTCACCCAAGCAACCACCCTACCACCCTAACCCCAGTGTGACTGTATTTGGAGATGAGGCTTTTGAGGAGGTAAATAAGGTTAAATGAGGTCATATGGGTGAAGCCCTAATCCAGCAGGTCTGGTGTCCTTCTAAGACAACAGAGACAGCAGAGAAAGAGCTCTTTGCATACAGAGACAAGGCCATGTGAGCACAGAGCAAGAAGGCGGCTGTCTGCAGGCCAAGGAGAGAGGCCTCACCAGAACCCAGCCCTACTGGCACCTCGAGATTGGACTTCCAGCCCCCAGAACTGTGAGAAAATAAGTGTCTGTGTAAGCCTCCCAGCCTGTTGTGTTCTGTCAAGTCAGTCACAGCTAAGACACACCCCAGTACAGGCTGCCCTCACCTCTCACCACCCAAATCTGAAACTGACCTGACCAGGCCACCCCCAGCTTAAAATGCTTTGGCATAGTCCTCACAGTCCCACTCACCATTGAGCTAGCTGGTTCGTAGTTCCTCGCCACGGCAAGGCCTCTGCACCTGCTGTTTCTGCTCCTGCTTCCGCCCTGCCCTCCTATCTCGCTTACCTGGCCAGTCTCTCCTCCTCCAAGTCTCAGTTGAAGCCTCCTCATGTGAGTCTAAGTGTCCTTTTTATACCCCATGATTCTCACCATTGGCTACACCTTGGAATCACCTGGGAGCTTTAAAAAACATCCCAGTGTCCAAGCCCTACTCCCCACCAATGGAATCAGAATTGCTGGGGTGGGGTGGTTTTAAGAAGCTCTCTTGTACATTCTAGAGGCTCCCTGTGCCATGAGCCCAGCACCTCCCCTGCACCTGGCATCTGATAGGTGCTGGTGAAGCATCTGCTTAGTGAGTGAATGTGATAGATCCACCCTTGGCCCCCTAGACTCTATACCACCTGGCTAGGCTGCAGCCCTCCACAATTCCCCTCTCTGTCCACCTCCTAGTCATAGTACCCTGAAAGGGTGGTGCTTTTTCCAAATCTCCTCCCCATGGCAGTTCCCTTAGATCCTACAGTCCTTTGGAGCTCTGCTGAAAGGCCCCTTCCTTGGGAGAAGCCATACCTGACGCCTGAGTGGGCTCAATCCACTTGCCCCCAGCTCCCGAAGCCCCCCATATCTTCCTCTTGGTAGTGCTCATCACTCTGGAAATCAATTATGTCTCTCCCCTCCCCCAGGAGCACGGGGACTTCACAGGGCAGAGGCCTTGCCTGTATGAATTCCCAGTGCCTGGCACACACAGTGGTGCTCGGTAGATGATGCTGGCGGGTTGAGTGATTTCTGTGCTCAGATGTTTTCCACCCATTCATCTGCTTTAGCCTGGGCCCAGCAGATGACCCTAAATGGCCCTCTAATTGAGGGCCTGGTGAGTCGATGGAATCCAACGATGAGACACCTTTAGTAGGTACTGTGGCCTCAAAGGGGCACAGGGATGACATCATTTTTTTTGAGACGGAGTCTCGCTCTGTCGCCCAGGCTGGAGTGCAGTGGCCAGATCTCAGCTCACTGCAAGCTCCGCCTCCCGGGTTCACGCCATTCTCCTGGCTCAGCCTCCCGAGTAGCCGGGACTACAGGCGCCCGCCACGGCGCCCGGCTAGTTTTTTGTATTTTTTAGTAGAGACGGGGTTTCACCATGTTAGCCAGGCTGGTCTCGATCTCCTGACCTCGTGATCCGCCCGTCTTGGCCTCCCAAAGTGCAGGGATTACAGGCTTGAGCCACCGCGCCCGGCCGACATCATTTTTTAATAGGACTGTAAGGAAATGTTCTCCAAAATGGGTGAATGGGGAACACACCTGTGCAGAGGGTACAGCCTGTACACACAGCAGTGCTCGCTCCCACCTCTCTCCAGGATGGGAAACTGAGGCAATTCCAAAGACCTTCAATAGGTGTTACGAGTTGAATTGTGTCCCCCCCAAAAGATATGTTGAAGTCCTAAGCCCCAATACCTATGCAAGCTCATTTTGGAAACAGGGTCTTTGCAATGTAAATACCCTATTTGTAATCAAGTAAAGATGAGGCTCGTTGGATTACTTATCTGAAACTCAAGTTTTACTATGCATCCTGTATTCTTACTTGCCAAATCTGGCAGCCCCAATTGGGAAGGAAAGAAGGAATATGAGGAGGAAGGAGGGAACTGGCCAGGCACGGTGGCTCACGCCCATCATCCCAGCACTTTGGGAGGCCGAGGCGGGCGGATCACTTGAGCTCAAGAGTTCGAGACCAGCATGGCCAACATGGTGAAACCCCGTCTCTACTAAAAGTACAAAAAATAGCCAGGCGTGGTGTTGCGTGCCTGTAATCCCAGCTACTTAGGAGGCTGAGACAGGAGAATTGCTTGAACCCGGGAGGCGGAGGTTGCAGTGAGCCGAGATTGTGCAACTACACTCCAGCCTGGGCAATAGAGCAAGACTCCATCTTAAAACAAAAACAAAAACAAAAACAAAAAAAAAAAGGAAGGAGGCAATAAAGATCCAGGATGACACAGCACTCCCAGGATCCTGAGCCAGGAGGCTGTGTAAGTCCAGTGAGTGGGGAGCTGTCTGCCCTCCCTGGAGGACTCATGGCACCAGGGCCTGCACTGGGAGGTGGAGGGCCTGGGCCACCTGGGAAGCCACTTCCATGCCTGGAATCCCGTAACAGAGGAAGGGGCAGAGGGCAGAAATCCAGGGGTCTGGGTGACTCAACTGGGGACCACCTTGGTACTTGATGGTGTGGCAGAGACCAGCACTGGCAGGTCTGAAGCCAGTCCTGAGTGGAGGCATTGGGCAGTCACCCTGGGGAGCCACAGTGGCGGATATGGAGGAAGCATGGCATTGGGACCCCACTGAACCCCTAGGAAGACCTCAGTGGGAAAGAACATGGCCAGAGGACAAAGTTTCCAAACATCATAGCCCTGTGGCTGGAATGGTGGTGGTACAGAGGCCTCTGGGATCCACGTCTTCTCCCCTAGGGACTGCAGAGTGACACCGCCCCCACTCCACGCTGCCCCTGGGGACGGCACCTGCCACCCTGGGAACCACAAACGTGGTGAGGGTAGGGGATTGCTCTTTTTAAGGGAGACCGTCCGTCCCTGTGAGCCCTGGAACCAGGCCTCTTCTGCCCACCCTCCCGCAACCAAAGAAACTCGGTTCAGTCAGGCGAGAAGAGCAAACTGTTTATTTACACCTTGGTCTGTACAGTACAGCTCCCCGGGAGGAGCCTGCCACCAACAGCCTGTTCCTTTTGAGGCAGAAGCAGGTTGGAGGCAAAGAGCTCGGACCCTGGACAGCCTCAGGGCCTCACCCCCGCTATCCCCTCCCTGGGGCCCACAGGGCAGGTCCCACCCCAGCCCTAAAGCTAAGCCTGTTTCCAGACAGGGCCTCCTGGGGCAAAAAAATCAAGTTGAATCCCAGAGTCAGAAGCCATCGAACAAACGCTTGGGCATGAGGCCACATGTGTAGTTCATTCCACGTAGGCCTCAGAAGACCCAGCCAAGAAAGTGGGAGGAGATGGAAGGGGGCCCACAGCTGTGAGTGAGTCCTCGGCAATGCACCGTCCGCTCCGTGACATCAGCCGGTATTTAATGGCACTCTGGTCTGAGCACCTCAGCAGACAAGGAAGGGCTGGGCAGGTATTCACAGCAGGCAAGGGCAGCAGCTAACGCCTCTTCCTTCGGCCCGAGTGGCGCCCGCAGCTGTTCTAGACACAGATATGGTGGCCTCAAGGCAGGCCTGGAACCACGGACAGGTCTTCCTCTGGGGGCAGAGATGGTACACGGAGTGGCTGCAGTCCCATGACATCTCTGCTGGGGCCACTCAGTGCCCCAGGTTAAAGAGTGATGCTCTGCCGGACATCGCCAACAATGCAGGAAAAGGTCTGTGGGAGAAGCTGCTTTACACAAAGTTGCCCTTTTCTGGAATGCAAGGCTCCTAAACTAGCTGCAGGCTGGAGGAGGGACTAAGTGGGTCCTAGTCCCCCATGTTTAAGACAATAATGAAAGATTCTGTACAAAGTTACCAAGTCTACAGGCTGAGTGAGCCAAGGGTAGGTGGGGGCCTGATCCTTGTGGATGAATGTGCCCGGGAGAGTTGGCCTCACCTGGGGGAGGCACGTGGAAAACGTACACATTTACAGGGCTCGGGAAAGGTCAGGGAGACGAGACTATGTAGAAAAGGAGGCAGTGGGTAATGTGGAAAATCCTGTACAGTGGCGATGGGGAAGAAAAGGCACAAGGACAAAGACCGCAAACCATGCAGAGGAAGACAGCCTGTGCAGCACAGCAAAGCGGATGGGCCCCAGCAGGAGGCAGGGTTACCCTGGGGACAACAGCACTTGGATCCTGCAGGAGACACGGCCTGGATGCCATCCCCAGCTGGTGGCTCCGGGGCAGACATCTCTACCTTACAGATGGGGAGAGGAGCAACCTACGAGGTCAGGGCAGGAAGGCCATATGGGAAACCTTGCCTGGTGAGCATGGTGGCATTATACTTCCCCAGGGTCTACACTTTTAGAAACAAATCTTTCTAGAAAGCAGCCTATTTTCTCTGGTGGGCAGCAGCGAATATGGCAGAAGGGCCTCGGAGTTGTCCTGCCATGCAGGTAGGGCAGGCTCCTGGTTCCAGCCTCTCCTGCTTCCTGCTGGCTGCTCCATTCACATGTGCACTCAGGGCAGGAAGTGAGGACCTGAAGGGTGCCTAGGATCAGCGCTCAAAGTCATCCACTGAATAAACGGCCCTTCTAACTTGAGGTCCCTTGGCGCAGCAGGCCTCCGTCTTACCAGCCAGCAGTGTCACCCTAGAGGGGATTCCCTGGGTCCCAACAGGAGGGCCAGAGTCTAGGAGAAAGGACTGTGGAGGATACCAGCACTGAGTCCTAGGTGGCCCCTTTCCTCAATCTAGAATCCACAATAGCCCTTGAAAAAGAGTCACTGCGGATCTGCCGGGCAACCAAAGTCATTTTCTTGGCATGGTGACCATGCAAAACTTTCCTGGTACGATCACATCTAAAGTTAGTGTTTGTTTTTTGAAAAATAAAGACAAGAGTTTCACCATGTTGCCCAGGCTGGTCTGGAACTCCTGAGCTCAGGAAATCCACTCGCCTTGGCCTCCCAAAGTGCTGGGATTACAGGTGCGAGCCACCGTGCCTGGCCTAGAGTTCGTTTTTAAGTTTAAATTTGCTAATGCAGTAAACCCCACCACACACACAGGACATAGAAAGAAGGCTTCAATTCTCCCAGTTTCACCTGGCCCTGCTGGCCCCTGGAGGCTTCTGCTGGCTAAGTCCCTCACTGGAACCAAGAACCCGCACTTGCATCCCCCACCCCTACTCCCCTGAACACCAGCACCAGCGGACTAGCACCGGAGTGTCCAGTGTGTGAGGGGGATGCTGGTTTGGCTAACAGGGAAAGAGCTGGAACTCCCTTATCAACCCAGTCAGGAAACAGACCAGAGGCAAAACCCACAAAAAAATTATCTCCTCCTGCTTAGCTATGCAAATAGGTGGCAGCTGTTTCTGAGGCTGCTTTCAAGGGGACAGCCTCACCTGTCAGTTCCCTGCCGACTCTGTTCTACCTGCTCTTTGGAATGAGCCTGTAGCCAGTATATCCCAACACATGCCACCCACTGACTCCAGGGCCACCAGGCCGAGGTCCTGCCCGCCCACTCTGGTCTGCTAACCTCCAGGTTGGTGAGAACAGTTGGATCCACCAGCTCCTGAAGGCATCTGGTCTCCCATCCTGCAGGCCAGGACCATTCAACAACATAACAGGAAAAGGTACCCTCCCAGCAAGAGTGCTTGCTGTCATTCAGCCATGGGCTTGACAAGCCCAACAGCCACTTTGACCAGTTTCTTCTACCTCTGGCCAATGACCTTCCAGGACAGGGAAGTCTCAACCTCGGGCTGCATATCATCACCTGGGGAGGTCTTTACATATCTGGATGCCTGGACCACACCCCCACCAATTCAATCCGAACCTCTGGCGGTTCAGCCCAGACAGCAGAAGCTTAGAAATCTCCCAAGGTATTTCCAATACACAGCCAAAGCTGAGCCCACTGTTCTAGGCCCTCATGCAGGTTCCTGAGCTTTGTGTTTTTTCATTTTTAACTTTTGGTAGAGACAAGGTATCACTGTGTTGCCCAGGCTGGTTTAGGACTCCTGAGCTCAAGCGATCCGCCTGCCACTGCCTCCCAAGTGCTAGGATTACAGGCGTGAGCCACTGTTCTGGCCTGTTCATGTTTTAAATAGGTCAGAAATAGTCACGAAAAGGAATTTCTCTGTGACAGTTCGCAAAGAAATATACCAGTTTAAAATAAAATGACCTAGGATTAACTCTGGCCAATTCAAAGTTAAAAGAAAAAAAACATTTTTACTAGAACTTTCTTAAAGCCTCTCACCGCACAGGGACTTGCTGAACCAGGAGGCACTTCATTTTCTAGCAGATAATGTATACAAAGCTCACTCCTGGTTCAGTTCATTTTGCGTGACTTCCAACTGAACACCAGGGCAGCTCAGGGCCATGTAAAATCTGAGTCTACTACAGAAACCCTCGCCCCACCCAAAAAACACCTCTAGATTTCAGATAAGTTACTGCTAATCCCTACTTGGTAGGGTTGCCAGGTTTAGCAAAACAATAAAAACAAACAAACAAAAAAAACCCCAAGTAGGACACGCAATTAAATTGGAATTACCTGAGCAGCTCTTTACAAAATTCCATGCCTGGGTCACACCCACAACAATTAAACTGGAATGTCTGAGGACTCAGTCTCATCATCAGAATTTTTCAAATCTCCGCATTTCAAATATGTCCTGGCCAGCCAGGCATGGTGGCTCGTGCCTGTAATCCCAGTGCTTTCGGAGGCTGAGGCGGGAGGGTCACTTGAGGCCAGCAGCTCAAGTGAGGCAACACAGTGAGACCCTGTCTCTACAAAAAATAAGAAAAATTAGCTGGGCGTGGTGGTGCATGCCTGTAGTCCCAGCTACTGAGGCAGTTAAGGCAGGAGGATCACTTGAGCCTGGGAGTTCAAAGTTATGGTGAGCTATGACCATACCACTACACTCCAGCCTGGGCAACAGAGCAAGATCCTATCTCTAAAAATAACATCTCTCCCAAGTACAGATGTTCATTCTAAAATTGTCTATCTGAAGTACAGATGTTCATTCTAAAATTGTCTATCTGAAGTACAGATGTTCATTCTAAAATTATTTGTCTATCTGAAATTCAAACTTAACTAGGCATCCTGTCTACTACCTTGCAGCCCCACTACTGAGGTGTAAGGGCAGAAACAAAGATCAAGCTCCATCCCTACCACCAAGGGCTCTGGGACCTGCCAGGGGCTGTGGAGCTGGGACCCTTGGGGCATCTGCCCCCTCAAGCTAGCTTTTGAGCCCAGAAGAATATTTTTACAAACATATGTGATCTTTAAAAGCCAAGCAGACAGGCCAGGTTTTACAAGAAATGTATTCTGGCTGAAGAGAGTAAGGTTGGACTTGAGGTGTGTGTGAGCTGGAATTCAGCCCCCCATCTAAAAGCCAGTCCTGTTCCAGAGGCCCCTCTGGCGCTGTCCCAGGGGCCTTTTGGACTCCAGCCGCCTCCTGGAGCCTGTTCCCACGGCGCCCCCTAGAGGGAGGAGCCTGAAGCACACCCCAGGCTGCCAGCTGCTTCCGCCCGCCTTTCCCATGGCAGATTCCTTCCCACGTTGTGACTCAGGCTGTGGAACCCAGGCCTCTGCAGCCTTCTCTGAAATTCCAGTGCAGCCAAAGAGTAGATAACATTTTACATAGAAAATACTCAACCCTGGGGCAAGGCCCCCACGCACCAGTACTCCTTCGACCTAACACCCAGGCCAAAGCTATGTCAGGATCTGTCTTGTTCCTTTCAGCCATGGCCATTGCTTCCTATTGGCAAATTCTCAAGAGACCCTCTCCTCATGCCTTCTTCCACTGCCTCTTTGCAGACCCTTGGGGGAGCCCAAGGAGACCCGCATCCTAAGGGGCTGAGAAACTCCAGAAGACCGACTGCCTAGCCTAGTCTTCCCGGTGTGGGTGGCTCCAAAGTCTTGGATCAGACCAATGCAACCCCATTATTTGCAGCATGAAACTAATCCCCAACATAGGGTTCAAAAGAAGCCACAAGATCCAACAAATGCAAAGGCTGATTAGAATGGAATTGAAGGTTGGTCCTGGCCACAGCCCTGTCTTTGTCATGCAGGGTTCACACCCAAGTCCCCAGATCCCCTCTCCTCACCGTCACTGCCCTTTCTTTCTGTGTCTCCCCTTCCACTGTCCTTCCCAACATGCCCAAACCTTCCTTCTCATACTATAAGATGTGCTGAAGAAAACAAGAAACTGCAGGGGGGAAAATAAGACCACACACGTTTATATATATTTGGATTAAGAAAATGAATCACAAGCCATATAAAATTGAGATAAATCGGAAAACTCTAAGGTAAGTACCATGTCTATTCCCAGCTGCCTAGAACAAAAGATCCATTAAAAATCCATGGCGTGAATTTCCACCATGGATCGGAAGGATGGAAGACTAAGGTTTTCCTGCAACTTTCCCAACCACCTCCCACCAGTGCAGCGAGGGCTCCCATGACTGAGAACCAAATACAGGTGTGTTTCTAAATGCTGGAACGAAGCGGTCTTGCTGCCACATGAGTGGAGCCCGGAGCTCAGATTCTGAAATCCAAACCCAGGCCTGCCATCACCAGGCTGTGTGGAGAATGAAGACAGGAAGCCAGGCAGATGGTCTCTCCATGCATCCATCTTAACATGCAGCCATGGGAAGGAAACTGGGATGGGAGTTGTGTTCCTCCCCAAAACTCATTTCTTTGGTTGCCAGATGTCAACTCCTGCCTTAGACATCCCATCCCAAACTCTCTTTCTCCTTCGTTTTTATCCCTTCATGTTACACCCAGTGAATGCTGCTTCATTGTCTTAAAACCGAAACAGAAACGGGGAGGTAGGTAGCACGGATGGGGAGTGCATGAACTCTACAGGATGAGGGTGCCCTGCACTAGCTCCTCTGAAACCTGAGTCCTCTGTTCACTCTGCACACACATCACAGAGGGCTGCCGGCCGGCGGCCAAGGCCTTTGGTGAGGGCCCCATCTCGTGGACCCTCCAGATGCCCCTTCATCCTCTCTGAGCTTGAACACCGGGGCTTGAAAGGTGGCCAAAGAGCTGGCGAGGACACAAATATGGGGCATTTGAACTCCTAGGAAAGATCACAATTTTGCTCCCACGCCCAGGGGACTAGGAGTGGGGTGAAAGCCCATCGTACTAGAGCGAATGTGGATCATTATCCCCAGAGGTAGAATCATTTTACCCAGTACCAGAAACACAAGCTTCCAGTTCTTGTTTTTACAGTAACTCCTGATAGCAGACCTTGCCCCCTCCCACTTCCAGTACCCTCCGCCCCTTGCAAAGGGGCCACAAAGTGCATGCACGGCTAACCGTGTGGATGCTGCCCATAGCCATGGCCACTCACCCCTCGCTTGTGTGCACAGCCTCCCCACATATATACACAGGTACACGTAATGCATGGTGGCCAGAGAGACATTTACAGTGAGTGTGAGGCCCGGCTTAGGCCTGCATCCTTGGGCAGGGTCTGCCCCTTGGTTCCAGGGTCCTAAGGCTGCTCTGCAGCCAGCCCCGTGCCTTAGTGTTTTATCTCGAGGATGGAAGGGTTGTGGTCCAGGATGGCGAGGATAATCTTGTCCATGTACTGCCTCAGCCGGAAGTTGATCTCCTCCTGCTCCTTGAGGGCTTCCATTAGCTGAAGGAAATGGGAAAGATAGGTCAGTGGCTGGGCCTGGGATGGGGTGCAGGCAGAGTCCAGATTCCCAGGCTTGTCGCAGGCCAGTGCCTAACGACACAGGGCATCAGGAGACCCTGGGCAAGGCGGGCCCCAGGGCAGCCTCAGCATTTGGATGCCAGGACGAGAGTCGAAGTGGCTCAGCCCCTAGTATTACCTATGCAGGTGCCCAGGCCCCACCCCCAGAGATTCCAATGTGATCAGTTTGTAGAGGGGGCCCAGGTGTGGGTAATCTTTCGTAAAAGTAGAGAACATGGGCCAGTCATTTAAAATCAAGACTGACAAAGTCCCAGGGCCCCTAAGACTCCAAAGGGGAGCTGTCTCCTGCCTGGACACCTCTCCCCACCCCCAGCCCCACACTGCTCTTCTCCAGGACAGTGTTCTTTCGGACACTGCTGACATGCTGCCTCTGCCCTGGGGCTGGGGCCCAGCTCACCTGGGAGCTCTTTGAGGACAGAGGTCAGTTCATCACCCCGTGTCCCAGACAGAGGGTAAGGCTCAGTGACAGTGTCTTACAATTCCTGTTCAAATGCAGCCAGGGCATTCTGGAGGCCCGGCCTTTCATAAGCACACTCTGGTGTGGCAGGAAGGGTAGGCTTTGGCTCTGGAGAGAGCTGGGTCCCTCTCCCTCCCTAGCTGGGTGGTCCTGGGTTCCACCTTCCCAGCTTGGAATGTGGAGCTGTTCCTAAAGCTTCCGAGTCATCAGGAGGTTCAGTGAAAACACATCACAGAAGCAGCAGGTGCTGGAGAAATGCTAATGTCCTCTCCCTCTGGGTTGGGAAGAGTGGGAGTGATAGCCTAACCCAGAGTCATGGCTTGATCCACTCAGCTGGCTCTGTTGGCACTTTTCTGGCAGACCTAAGACTCCCACGGCACTCTGAACCAAACCTGCACTCCTTCCAGCACAGGCAGAACTCAGAGCTGACTTGACTTCTCCAGCAGCCCCCTCCCCTGCTCACGGCTTTGCCCTCTGTCATGTGGGATAGTTGTAGATGGGACTCTCTGCCAAGCCCTGGCCTGGTTTTCTCACTCTGGGCAGGCGGGGGCTGGGAGAAGGAATTACAGAGGAGCGGCCAGGCCCCAAAGCAAGAGCCAGTGATGTGGTTACCTCATCACGCGAGGCAGTGTCTATCTCCGCAGCCAGAGACTGGGCTTTAGTCTGGGCAGCAAAGAGGTTTTTTGCTTCGTAGAGGCTGAGGCTCAAGATCTGCCCATTCAAGTCATCATTCTGATCCCGCAGCTTATAATTCTCCTACAGAGAGAAGGACAAAAGTGACGTCAACCCCAAGAAGCATCCACAGCCCACTGGAACCCACTTCTCCACATCCACCATCCCCGACCCGCCGCCAGCGCCATTCCCACAGGTACGCATCACGGCCAGTTCAAGGGGCCATAGATGTTGCAGCCTTTGCCAGGCGCTAGGGGGTAAGAGGGCTGGGTCCTGGTCCAGGGGCCCGGCGTCCTGGGAGTGCACAGGGTTTGTGGAGGAGTTATAGCCCTGCTCAGAGCAGCCAAGGCTCCTGGCCATCCCTTCCTCCCTGGGCCCTGCGTAGGGACACCACCCACCCAGCAGCCCGGCCTCCAACACTGGCCCTTGCCGAAGGAAGTGATGCTCTGGGCTCTCTGGGCAGGCCGGCCAGCTCATTTCCTTGGCTCCCCGGCAGCCATGCTCTGAACCCTGCTTGGCTGGAGTTGTCCCAGGCAGACCCACCCAGATACCATGCACCAGTCTCACGTGCCAGCTTTTGCCTAAAGAGCCCTAATGCTCACACCTGGGACCCTGGGCGCCCCACCCCTAGACTAGGAGAAGGGCTGGGGTTTTAGGACTTCTGTGAGAGCACAGCCACCAGTCCCTTTGTCCCCAGTGGAACAAACTCAGAAGGATAATTTATGCTGCAGGCTCTTCCACCTGCAGGGTCAGGCAGAGCTGACACTTCAACCAGCACCACCTGGCCACTGCCTCCTCCTGATCCACTCCCCCACCCAATGGTCTTTAGCTAAGGCAGTGCTCCTTGAACTGCAATCTTCTGGCTAGGCACAGTGGCTCATTCCTGTAATCCCAACACTTTCAAAGGCTAAGGGCGGGAGGATCCCTTGAGCCCAGGAGTTCAAGCCTGGGCAATATAGGGAGACCCCATCTCTACAAATACATAAATAAATAAATTAGCCAGGTGTGGTGGCGCTCTCCTGTAGTCCTAACTGCTCGAGAGGCTGAGGCAGGAGAACTGCTTGAGCCCAGATTTGAGGCCGCAGTGAGCTGTGATCACACTACTGCCCTCCAGCCTGGGCAACACAGTGAGACCCTGCCTCAAAAAACAAAAACAACACTAGCTGGGCATGGTGGTGGGTGCCTGTAGTCCTAGCTATGTGGGAGACTGAGGCAGGAATATCACCTGAGCCCAGGAATTCAAGGCTGCAGTGAGCGATGACTGTGCCAAAACACTCCAGCCTGGGTATCAGGAAGACCCTGTCTCTTTAAAAAAAAAAAAAAAAAAAGGAACCTTGACCTCAGGGTCTACTTCTGAGAGAACCCAATGCCAGCGGGCACTGTACTGCAGCTGGGTATAGTCTCATCCTCCACCCTGAGCACCAAGGCAGACAGCAGTGTCTATTTCTTTATATGGATATAAGGGGGAGATCTGCAGATCGATTTTCCTGACTGTGAAATGGGACAGCCAGCCCTGACAAACAGGTTGCTGAGAAGCAGACAGGCAGTGCTGCTACAGCTCTGGGCTCCCCTGTCACAGATCCTGCATAGGAAACCCAGGCGGTGGACCCAGCCACCCCGCCCCACTGGACACAGAGACTGCTAGAACCACCTGCTTGAGCCGCTTGACCTCGTGCTCGAGCTCCACCTCGCGGGCCCTGGCATTGAACTCGCCTAGGCCAGAGGAGGCACTGCGGCCCCTTCCTGGCCGCTCACAGTCCAGCTTGTACATCTGCAGGTGCTCCAGCTCCTTCCGCAAGTCCTCGATGAGCTGCGAGGGAGAGAGGCAGGTTGGCAGGAGCAGGGACGCTGGAAGGAGCCCTGGTGCCTGCTGGCCTGGGACCCACCTCCTGCGTCGCCTCCCGCTCCTTCTGGAACTCGAGGCGGTTCTGCCGCAGCTTGTCCATCATGCGCTTGTACAGGTCCATCTCATCTTTGAGCCGCAGGCTGGTGTCCTCCAGACGGTCAGACATGCGCTGCCGCTCCTGGAGCAGGGAGACCCGGTCGGGGAAGGAGAGTTTCCAGAGAGGGGCTCACTATGTCCAGGGGTATCCCTGGGGTCTGGTCAGACATCTTCACAAGGCAGATGCACAGTGAAACCAGCTCCCTCAGACGGAGCCCTGAGTCTTGGCTTACAGAAACGGCCAGAGCCCCAATGATTCTAGAAACACAACTAAAAACCTCAGGCCTCTGAAGTCCTTCAACAATGCTAGATGCAACCTGAATTGAAGGTATTAGCCCAAATAGAAGCTAACCTCTTTCTAAAACTGTAATTCTTCTCCATTGTATAAAGTAATAAATACATTCACTGTAAAAAACTTGGAAAATCAGAAATACAGAAACACAAGTTGTTATTCACTTTTTTTGCATTTCTTAGGGGGTAGGGCATTTGTTTAGAATTTCAGGAGCAATAAACTAAAGGCCCCCGATGGCCAGCCCTCCCCCTCTGGGAGTTTGGCCCCAAGCCTGGATCTGCTACTCACCTCGTCCAGTTTCTCTGTTTGAGACTTGAGCCGAGTCACTGTTGTTCTAAGCTCTGTATTTTCTTCCTCTAACTGCTGCACCCTGGGGAAAGGAGAAAGACAAATCTCAGAAACCTGGAATGGAGACTATCTGATAAGGGCCTGCCAGTCTGCAGTGATTCTCTGCTTCCTCCAAGAGGGAAGATACCAGAAACCAACTGAGAGAAAGAATATGCTTATTATGTCAAAGACAATTTAGCCGTGAGCTTCCTATCAGCCAAAGCAAAATAGTAAGGATACTAAATTATTATTGTTCTTATTTTCTTTTTCTTTTTTTTTTTTTGAGACAGAGTCCTGCTGTGTCGCCCAGGCTGGAGTGAGGTGGCACAATCTCAGCTCACAGCAACCTCTGCCTTCCTGGCTCAAGCAATTCTTGTGCCTCAGCCTCCTGAATAGCTGGGATTACAAGCGTGCACCACCATGCCTAGCTAATTTTTGTATTTTTAGTAGAGATGGGTTTTGCCATGTTGGCCAGGCTGGTCTCAAACTCCTGGCCTCACATGATCTGCCCACCTTGGCCTCCCAAAGTGTTGGGATTACAAGAGTGAGCCACTACACGTGGCCTTTATTTTTCCAATAAGTGGAAACATTCATTAGAGTAGGAACACAGATTCTGTTTGTATGCATCCTTCAGATCCTCAAACAACATGGGGATGTTTTTCTGCTAGATGGAGAAACAGTCCTCTTGTGGCTTCTGCGACTGGGCCCTCCTGTTAGACTCTGTAACTGGAAGGCAGTGATCATATTGGCTTTTCATTCCCTGCCAACACCATCTCATCCAGGGCTCTTCTCTGAGCGCTCACTGCACCTGCCTCTGATGACCACAGGTATGGGCTCTGACAGTAATAATCCTCTGTGTTAGCATTCACACAGGAATTCCACAAAGGGAATCCTAAAGGGATTCCACAAGAAGACAGAGCCTGGGTGTTCAGGTCTGTTTTTGTTTGTTTGTTTGTTTGTTTTGAGACGGAGTCTCAGAGGCATGATCTCAGCTCACGGCAACCTCTGCCTCCCAGGTTCAAGCGATTCTCCTGCCTTAGCCTCCTGAGCAGCTGCGACTATAGGCACGCACCACCATGCCTGGCTAATTTTTGTATTTTTAGTAGAAATAGGGTTTCACCATGTTGGCCAGGATGGTCTCAATCTCCTGACCTCATGATCCACCTGCCTCGGCCTCCCAAAGTGTTGGGATTACAGGCATGAGCCACTGTGCCCAGTCTCAGGTCGCTTTTAAATGGTCCGAGAACAGGTGCAGGTGAGTTGGGCCGTCGGTGGCACCAGAACCGAGCAGGGTCACTTCTGGCACCGATTCCTGCAGACCGTCTTGTTCTCAACCTACCACCTCCCCATCACATCCTCTTTCCTGGAAGGATGGCTTCTGGGCCTCCACTGCCCTCTGGGCTCCAGAGAGGAATGCAGCCCCACCACCCGCAAGTGGCCCCGAGCTGGTGGAAGTGGTAGGGAAGCAAGCATAGGGCAGGACTCTGGGAACACCACTCGGATATTTTACATGAATAGCGCCCCTGGAGCTGTGCGAGGGGCACATGTTAGGAGATAGTTCCCAAGGGCTGGCTTTCTGTGCTTTGTCCTGTGGCCCAGGTTCACACTGTCTTTTACCACCTCCCGTGTCCCAGCCACCTCTCTTGGGCCAGCTGCCAGAGGCGGGCTGAGTGAGAGCAGTCACCCTTAACCAAGCACCAGCCTCCAGAAACAGATGCAAAACAGCAGCTTCTAGAACACAGTCAAAATGTAAAATGAACCCCTGGTGGGTAACTTAGCAAAACAGGTCTCAGATACCGGGGAGTTGGCAAGTCTCCTCACCAAACTGCACAGGGGCAGGGAGGTACCTGCCTGAGAGCCCAACTCCCAGTCATTTGCTCAGCAGCCCACCAGCCACCACGTGGGGCTCGGCAACTCTGGGAAGCCTCAGCATGGAGACTGGGGCCTCAGGGGGCCTGAGGAGTGCCGGGGCAGTTGTCCTCTCTGCCAGAAGCCCAGGCGGCCTCCTCGGCCTCGGACAAGGGCCGCAAAGGGGCTTCATCACAGAGGCATCATCGTAGCCCTCACCTATGGGAAGGGTCTGGACTGACATCAGCTCACCCACCCACACAGCCGCTCTGTGGGGCACACAGGGAGGTGACCCAATACGTCCAAGGCCATGGAGCTAACGGGAGACCAACCCAGATCCCTGGCCCCAGGCTGCTCCTTGTCCTGCCTGCCTCACATTCCAATGGTGAAGCCACAGGTACACGCAAGGAACAGGAGCCGGGTTTTCCATTTACCTTGGCCCTGGGGCTCTGGCTCAGTCCCTCAGGGGTCAGGGGAGAATCTGACAGCAGGGGGCGCTCTAGGCCTGGACATTAGACCCAGCCCAGGCCCTTTACTCATTGACATAGGTGTAGTTCGCATTACCAAATGTGAGCCACGCTCCTGGGAACATTCTTTAGCGAACTTTCTGAAGAGCATATGCCTCTGTATTTCTCGTGGTATGAAAGTGGAACTGTTACTACTGGGAAGGCTCAAGAAGCTGCCCCTCAGCCTCAGCTTCCCATCTATAAAATGGGGATAGCGCCTATCCCACAGGGCTGCCCCAGGGCAGGGGATCCCTCTGAGGGAGGGGCTCAGTGGAGGGGCCCACCTGGCATTGAGCAGCTCCACCTCGGTGGCCTTCTCCCTCTCCAGCTTGCTGTAGGCCTCGCGGTGGCGCCGCGCCTCCTCCTCCAGCGCCTGCTCGGCTGTGGTCTCCTGATCCTTCACCATCTCCTCCAGCTCATGCACCCTGAGGACAGCGCAAGGGGCAAGCTCTTGGGGCCTGCACTATTTCACCCCAACCCAGGCTGTGGCACCGGGAACCCTGGGCCCTAAGACCCTGAGTCACTGGCATGCCCACCGAGGGTGTGTGGGCCAGTAGCTTTCGGAGAGATGAACAGGGACACCACATATCTAGAGGGGGTGCTGGTCATGCATGCCATGAAGGAACAGGCCTGGCAGTCAGAAGGTGGGGCGCTCAGGGCAGCACAGGGAGGGACCACCCCCCCCCCAGTCCCTGCAGCCACACCTGGCTGGAAGCACTCAGGCCTCACCTCTACTTTTTGTACTAATCCGTCCCGGCCACCCCTCTGATTAATAATTCAGCTTATTGGGCATCTTGACTCCCAAAATAGGCACATCCCGGCCAGTGGCCTGAAGTCTGCCCCAGACCTGGGACAGGGCCAGGGGCACGTAGACGTGAGCACCCCAGTGACAGCCTGGTTGGTATTTTGGTCTGGGGTACGTCTCACTGGCAACAGCCCCTCCACCAGGCTGACCTTCTGGGGTGTACAGAAGGGCCCAAGATGGGCCCTGTGACAAGTTAGAGGACCGAACCCCTGGCCAGGGTATGTCCCCCAAGGGTCATGCCATCGGTGAGGACAACTAAACCCTGCATTCACCACTGCAGACGGCATCAGGAACGGCAGGCTCAGGGGACCTCCAGCAGCAGCAGTGCTGGACCCTTCCCACCGCCCAGCTCACACTGGCCTGTCCCCTGCAGAGCTTGTCCCTAGGCAGGGACATCAGGCTCCTGTCACTGTATGAGAGACAGTGGATCCCCACTCCCATCTTGGACCAGCCCTGTGGCTGCAGACCTCAGGGGTGGAATCCATCTGGCCTAGAGCCAAGGTCGAGCTCCAACCTGTCTCCCTGTCCCTAAGGTCCTGTCCTGGGCACCACATGTGGGCAGGGCCACGTGACAAGAGGCTGATGCATCACAGACCCTCAGAGCTGCAAAGGCATGAGGCTGCCTCCTCCCGGAGGTCTCAGCAAGAAGGACCCCCCTTTGTTTCCCAGAGTCACAGCCAAGCCCCCAGCGCCCTGCCTCCCTGACCTGTGCACCAGCTGCGTGTTCTCTTGCTTCAGCTTGCTCTTCAGGTCCCCATTGGTCAGGCTGTCATTCTCCAGCTCTGTCACCTTCTTTTCCAGGAAGCTTACCTGCAGCAGGGGGCAGGGGTTGGGTGGAGAAGACCCCCGAGGCCACAGAACCGAGAACCTCGATGCCGTGAGGTTCATGAGCAGGACCTCCAAACCACCATGTACTGACAACAGTCATGTGTGGGGTGAGCGGCGGGGAACACACCAGGGCCACCTATCCCCAATTCCTGGGCAGGCACAGGGTCTTCCAAGTCCCCAGACAGTAGCCCGAGCACACCCCACCTCCCCTGGGAGCAGGCACGCATTCAGTCCCTTCTCCAGCCACCCGGGGCCCACCTTCTCTGTGATGTCATTGTCACAGGAGTCAATGCTGTCCCGGAACAGGTCTTCGGTGCTGCCGTTGCTGCTGCTGAAGTTGCTGCTGTGCATGAGCTGCCTGCAGGGGTGGGGAGAGGGTGTCTGGCTGCAGGGGCCTTCCAGAGACAGGGGCCAACTCAGGCTATTGGCTAGGCTAGCATCCAGTACCCCAGGGGATCTGCCCCTTTAAGGAGGCTGCCCTCACTCAGCCTGAGACGGAGAGTGTTGCCAATCCCAGCAGATCATCCAGCCCAGAGGATGGCAAATGGGCTGTACAGACCCCCTGGGTTCCCTGGCAGACACAGTCAAAGAGGCACAGCTTCTCCTGCGGCCTCAGAGCCCTCTTCATGCCAGCAGGCTGACCTGCAGCTACCCAGTGACCTGAGCTGGCACGTGAGCCCGCTCCTCTTCCAGTGGGGAAGCCCCTGAGGAGGTAGTCCAGCTCCATGGCCCTGGCAGAGGCTTGAGCCTCTCCACCAAGCTGGCTCCTGCTACATCTCTGGGAACTCTGGGGGATGGCAAAGGCAGAGAATTCACCAGGCCTTGCAGAGCAGTGAGCTGGGGTGGGACTGGGCCTGGTGAGCTAACCCGTGCCTGAGGCAAAATCCAGCTGCCACCCCCAGTGACATCCCCTTCCAGCTCCCTAACAGGCAGCAGCCAGGGTCTCTGCCAAGAGGCCAACCCACCTAGCTCCTGAGCCCTTGCTGCCAGCTCCCAAAGCCCCGAGTGTGGACCTGGGGCCACACTGAGCTGCTGCAGGACTTAATCAGAGCAAAGTGACCAGCCCTGATGGCACACGCTCATGTCCAGATCCCCACCTGCAGGAAACCCGGGGTCTCTTTATTGAGTATGGCTGCCAACTCCAAGAGGGGGGAAGGGCACTGAACGCTGTGGGGTGCTCTGTCTCTCTCAGGGCATCCCTGGCGTGCCTGCCTGAAGTCGAGGTGACCTAGGATTTGAAGAAGGGACAAGGGGTGGGGAGAGGGCAGGGAGGAGCTGGCCCCTGTTTTTCAGAAGTGGACGCTGCCCTGGCTGCACTGCCCTGGGATGGCCTCATTCCCCTCTGCTCTCTCAGCCACATGCGGGCACCAGCTGAGTCTGGGCTGCTGGCAGGGAGCCCCGGCCAGTGGGCAGCATGGGGACAGCACTCAATTTGCCCTCCCCTGAGGCGGGCCTTACCGTCCAAAGGCTGTACTGGAGATCTTTCGGTTAGGGCTAGAGAGAGAGGAAACAGTCATTGAACAGAGGGGCTTAGTCCATTCCCTTACTCTGTCCCAGCTGTAAGACACAAAAGTGCAGGACAAGGCCCTTCCCTCCCACTTAAAAGGAATTCACTAGTCAGCTTGGTCCTGAGAAGAAACAGCCTGATTTCCTGTGGCAGCAAAAGCCCCTGGATCAACCCTCCTCTGAGAACTCTCATCTGCCCAGAGAGCAGGGGTCGCCATGCCTGTAGCTTCTCCCTCCAGGCCCTGCTCTGGCCCCCTGGCCTCCCGCTCCCGGGCTGGGCCCAGGTCTCACCTATTGGCCTTCAGGTTTTTCAGTCGGGCTTCCAAGTCATTGAGCAGGTTGATTTTCTTGCAGCATTGAGAGCAGTAAACATCTAGCAATTCGCTGTTGTACACGTGCCGCATTTTCCTAGGCGTCTGCCCCGCACTGGTTCACGAGGGAAAGGAATCACCACCTTAATTGCTGTCCAGTCTGGTGCCCTATGCCACCCTGCTGAGCTGACTTTACTTGAGTCCCCAGTACCTTTGAACCTTGTTAGGGAGAGGGGCAGGGAGTGGAAGTATAGCAACAGATCATCCCTTCTCCAACACGCTCAAAGAGAAGCCAGTGATGCATACCCATTTAACAGCTAAGGCAAACTGAGAAAGTGGTGACTCAGGTGGGTGAGAAGGGATCACAGAGGGTCACTTGGAAGGACCCTTCAACACTGAGGCTCTAGGACACAAGACGACACAGAGCCCCATGGCCCCCAGTGTGCAGCCTCCTAGGTCATTTAATTCAGGAGGAACTTCTGACCCCTAATCAGGGTGCAAAGGTAGCAACCCCAAGCCCCAGGAACAGAACTCATGTAGCTTAGGACAAAGGAAAAGGGGCCAGCTCAGGACTCGACCCCCGCCCCGACCCCCTAGGATGTGCTCAGATTGGTTCTGCAACTTTTGACCCCAAATGACATCCCTGACCAAGGGGCCACCTGGAAGACACTGAAGACCCCAGGTCCGAGTAGACGTTGGTCCTGGTCTCATCATCGGGGCAAGGGCTGCTGGGGGCGCAGTCCACGTCGTCACCCTCCCCGTAGTCTTCAAACTGCTCCTCATTGCTGATAAGTGAGGTGGTGGAGTGTGTAGAAAGGTCTGAGGTCGTCATGGATGGAGTGTGGACCAGGGACCTGAGGGTCCGAAAGCACCCAAGTCAGAGGAGGACTCATGGGTCCCCAGCCACAGCCTGCGGTAGGGAAACTGAGTAGGCATTTCCCTTTAATTCGCACTACCAATTAAGTTTGTTTGTTTGTTTGTTTGTTTGTTTTTTTGGAGATGGAGTCTTGCTCTGTCACCCAAGCTGGAGTGGAGTGGCGCAATCTCGACTCACTGCAAGCTCCGCCGCCCGGGTTCATGCCATTCTCCTGTCTCAGCCTCCTAAGTAGCTGGGACTACAGGCGCCCACCACCACGCCTGGCTAAGTTTTTGTATTTTTAGTAGAGACGGGGTTTCACTGTGTTAGCCAGGATGGTCTCGATCTCCTGACCTCGTGATCCACCTGCCTTGGCCTCCCAAGTGCTGGGATTACAGGCGTGAGCCACCGCGCCCAGCCTACCGATTAAGTTTGTGCTTCTCGACCTGGTAAGTACATTTCACGGACCCTATCTAAAGGGAAACATCTCACCACAGAAATCATCTCTGCAGTTCAAACCAGTTCTACCCATGCTACCCCAGAGGAGCAAAACACTGCTTACAACCTAACTGTCTAGCTACAGCTAGACCAAATTATAATTATTAAATTATAATGGGAGTAAATTATTAAATTGCAGAACATCAAACAGTTGTTGAAAGGTTAAAACACGTGGAGTAGTGGCCGGGCGCGGTGGCTCATGCCTGAAATCCCAGCACTTTGGAAGGCCGAAGCGGGTGGATCACAAGGTCAGGAGATCAAGACCATCCTGGCTAACATGGTGAAACCCCGCCTCTACTAAAAATACAAAAAAATTAGCCGGGCGTCGTGGCGGGCACCTGTAGTCACAGCTATTTGGGAGGCTGCGGCAGGAGAATGGCGTGAACCCGGGAGGCAGAGCTTGCAGTGAGCTGAGATCGCGCCACTGCACTCCAGCCTGGGCGACAGAGTGAGGCTTCATCTCAAAAAAAAAAAAAAAGAAAAAAAAATTCAGAGTAGCTGCTCTCCCTATGTAGCAGCCATTCTTTTATTCCTTTATTTCCTTAATAAACTTGCTTTCACTTAATGGAGGAAAAAAAAAAAAACCCAAACATTGAGAGTAATATAGAAAATGAATATAATGGATCTAAAATTTTAGATACTGTAAGACTGAGTATGATCGTCCCTTGGTATCCAAAAGAGATTTGTTCCAGGACCCCCTGTGGACACCAAAATCTGAGGATGCTCAAGTCCCAGATATGAAATGGCATAGTATTCACATACAACCTATGCATATCCTCCTGTGTACTCAAAATCATCTCTAGATTACTTATAATACCTAATGCAATGTAAATGCTATGGAAATAGTTGTTACACTGTGTTGTTTTTTTGTAAGTTTGTCTTCTTTTTTTTTTTTGGAGACAGAATCTCGCTTTGTCGCCTGGCTGGAGTGCAGTGGTGCAACCTCTGCCTTCCAGGTTCTAGTCACTCACCTGCCTCAGCCTCCTGAGTAGCTGGGAGTAGCCTCCTCCTGCCACCACACACAGCTCATTTTGTATTTTTAGTAGAGATGGGGTTTTTGTCATGTTGGCCAGGCTGGTCTCAAATTCCTGGCCTCCGGTGATCTGCCCGCCTCAGCCTCCCAAAGTGCTAGGATTACAAGGTTGCTCCCAGAAAGCAGCACGGCCCCTCTCTCCATCCACAGCCCCAAAGGACCCCACCAAGAACATGGGGACTCTGAGAACCACTTGACTTTGAGAAATCCTGCATTGAGATGTACTAGGTTGAACCTCATGAATTACTTTTTTTTTTTGAAGATGGAAATGATTAAAAGTTGTCAATTTCATGTGGTTCAACCAACACGGGAACCCCTCTCTTCCCTTTCCATGTCCCTGCAGCAGCTGTAACCATCACCTTCTGGTAAGGGGTTGCCACTTGCAATCCCCTCGGCTTCCTCAGGCCCAATGGTGGCAGCTTCCCACCACCCCACAGCACTGTATCCCTCAAGAGACTTGGTGAGGGCTGAGATGGAAGGGAGTCCTTCCTGCCAAAACCAAAGTTAAAGATGAAACTGCTTCACTGGGAAGTCACTTAAGTCTTAATGTTGTTTTTAAATAACATTTCTGATTATGGGAATACATGCTCAATATAGAAAATATAGCAGAATAGATGGGAGGTAATTAAAATGATCAATTGGCCAGGCACAGTGGCTCGTGCCTGTAATCCCAGCACTTTGGGAGGCCGAGGCAGGTGGATCACAAGGTCAGGAGATCGAGACCATCCTGGCCAACATGGTGAAACCCCATCTCTACTAAAAATACAAAAAATTAGCCAGGCATGGTGGCAGGCACCTGTAGTCCCAGCTACTGGGGAGGCTGAAGCAGGATAATCGCTTGAACCTGGGAGGCGGAGCTTGCAGTGAGCTGAGATCATACCACTGCACTCCAGCCTGGGTGACAGAGTAATTAATTTTCCAGATTAATTTTTTCTAGGCATTTCCTAACACATATATCTATGTTTTGTTTTTTTAAGAGATGGGGTCTTGCTAAGTTGCCCAGGCTGGAGTGCAGTGACTACTCACTGGTGTGATCCCACTACTGATCAGCACTCAAGTTTTGATCTGCTCTATTTCTGACCTGGGCCAGTTCATCCCTCCTTAGGCAACCTGGTGGTGCCCCACTCCCAGGAGGTCACCATACTGATGCTGAACTTAGTGCAGACATCTGATCAGGATAGTGCACTAGAGCCCAGAACTCCTGGGCTTCAGCGATCCTCCTGCCTTAGCCTCCCAAGTATCTGGGACTACAGGCACATGCCACTTGCCTGGCATATGTTTGTGTTTTTAACAAAGCTGATCTCATGGACATCTTTGTAACCTGCTTTTTTGTTGCTTCTGTTTTTGTTTTTGTTTTTGAGACAGGGTCTTGCTCTGTTGCCAGGCTGGAGTGCAGTGATGTGATCATAGCTCACTGTAACCTTAAACTCCTGCGCTCAAGTGATCCTCCTGCCTCAGTCTCCCAAAGTCCTGGGGTGATAGGTGTGAGCCACCATGCCTGGCCACAACTTTTTTAAAACTAATTGAGATCATGTATCTCATATCATTAACAGTCATTTAAAACTTGACTTTGTCTGCAGGACTAGCACTGAAAATAAAGTAAAATTAAATTTAAAAACTTGACTTTGCACGGCTGCCTAAAATTCCAAAACTATCCCTTCCTGTTAAGCATTTAGTATGTTTAGAATCTTTTGCTATTCAGCTAATGCCTCTGATACAAATTTTGAGCATGTTTCACATTTACTTCCTGGAGACACTTTCCAAGAACCACATTTCTGGGCTGAGAGGTCAAATACTGAGCTTCAGGCGGTTTTAACTTACTTGTCCTCTGGCAGAAACAGGCCCCCGAGTCCCCCGTCCTTCTCGGCAGGACTCCCGACAGACCCCTCCAGGCTCTGAGGGCTCTCCATGGGGCTGTCCGTGTCCAACTCCTGGGGGCCCTCAGGTGGCGCCAGCGTCATAGCCTCCTCCTCGTCCTCGGGAAAAAAACCGGGCTCCCTGGGGATGAGCTCGCCATCAGCAAAGGTGGGGCCTGTGACTTCGCTGCCCTGGGAAAGAAAGAGCGTGGACAAGGTAAGTGAGGCCAGCTTCCCAGGGCTCCGTGTTCCACTCAGACCGCAAGGGTATCAGCCAGGCCAAAACAGCAGGGATTGGGTGCCGGAGGCCCAGACCCTGAGACCCTAAGTGTGGGAACACCTGGCAGGTGATTAGTCCCAGGGACCTCTCATACTGGCTGACTCATGAGTGTCTAGTGAGGAGCTGGAACTCCCAGGAACAGCCATCCATGAAGAAGGGCCACAGTCAGGCCAGCCACTTCATTCAGGGCACCCTGGTTGGCACATCAGAGCCCCCACTGAGGCAAAATATGGCACATCAGAGCTCCCACTGAGGCAGGGAACATAAGGCTGATTCACGCTGACTTCTAGAGCTAAATCAAAAGAAAAACCTCAGTTTTCCGCTCCCAAGTAGCTACTCCCTTTGCATCCCCGCCCCTCCTACCCACTGCCCCCTCACTCCCCCACCCCCCAACCTTTATCTGCCTGGCAGATGAAAAACTGAGAGTATCTCTGATTGGTCCCCTCCTGCAACCAATCAGGCTGGTCACAGGCTAAGTTTTCATTTGCATAGCAGTATAACTTTGTAACTTCACTTTAGTCTCTGGTTGGTTGCTTTCTGATTGCTTTCTGCAACCAATCAGATGTTTACATAGGGTGTAACTTTGTAACTTCACTTCTTCACTTTGGCCTCTGGTCCCCTCCTGCAACCAATCAAACTGTGGGCCCCTACTTCATTTACATAGGGTGTACACCAAGTAACCAATGGGAAACCTCTAGATGGTGGTCCCCTCCTGCAACCAAACTGTGGGCCCCTACTTCATTTACATAGGGTGTACACCAAGTAACCAATGGGAAACCTCTAGATGGTATTTAAACTCCAGAAAATTCTGCAACCAGGCTCTTGATCCCCTATGCTTGGGCCTGCTCCCACCCTGTGGAGTGTACTTTTTTTTTCAATAAATCTCTAGACCGGGCGCAGTGGCTCACGCCTGTAATCACAGCACTTTGGGAGGCCGAGGCAGGTGGATCACGAGTCAGGAGATCAAGACCATTCTGGCTAACATGGTGAAACTCCGTCTCTACTAAAAATACAAAAAATTAGCTGGGCATGGTGGCGGGCGCCTGTAGTCCCAGCTACTCGGGAGGCTGAGGCAGAAGAATGGCGCGAACCCGGGAAGTGGAGCTTGCAGTGAGCTGAGATGGCGCCACTGCACTCCAGCCTGGGTGACAGAGTGAGACTCCGTCTCAAAAAATAAAATAAATGTCTGTTTTTGATGCTTCATTCTTTCCTTGGTTTTTTTTTGTACATTTTGTCCAATTTTTTTGTTCCAGACACCAAGAACCTTCCACTGGTACCACCACCACAAAAGTCTCTGCCAGAGGAAGTCAAATGGCTTCGAAAAGGCTTCTTGGTGCCCCATGTAAGGGGTGCCCCATGTAAGCTATTCACACTGAATAGCTTTTAGGATCAACAACTCTGATCTAGTAGACTTTGCTGCAACGTGGTACAGTGAACGTTGCACAACTTGGGATCCACCCTCCATGACTCTGGGCACGTCATGGAATGTCTCTGAACCTCACTTGTCTCTGTAAATCAGGAATGGCGATGGAATCTTACAGGATCACTGTGTTGATTAAATGAGGTATTTCACATTAGCATCTAACACACAGTAGGACCTCAACGAATAAACCCCGGCCAGAAGATATGATGCCCAGCCCAGGAGGCAACTGCCTGCCTGCGCCCTGCCACAGCCTTGCTGGGAGCAAGAACGCCAGGCCTCACTCCTGAGCGCTGCTTGTGCTGGGTCTGCCGCCCAGCACAATGACGGTGTGTGGTAAAGATATGCTGGCACCTTTTGCGTAACTCATCAGATAGAAGAGCTTTGGCCTGGTTCAGAGTTGACCCTAGACTGAGGGGCAGCTCTCTGTAAACCATTTACTGGGGCCACTTCACCTCTGAGGAGGGAGGTACTTCTCAGGTGGCACTGCTTCTACCTGACCCATTGGAGAGGTCAGCCTGTTCCCAAGGTTCTTTGGTGTGCTCCTCAACCAGGGCTGGCAGGGCACGCTATTAAAGGACCTGCAGTCCCGAGACTACAGAAGGGCAACAGAAACAGGCTGGGAAAAGCCTCCTGGAGTCTCAGACAAGAACAGGTTCAGGGACAGCTGAAGAAGCTGCTCAGCGACAGGCCTGGATGTGCCTGCCCAGACATGTGCAGCTGTCTGTTGCCACCAACAGACAGTTGGTGGCAGCCCTTCTGGGGGTCCATCCCCACCAGGAGACCCCTGGGCTAGAAATAGATGGCAATATTATAATGAGCCTAGTTCCTGCCTGTGCTGTGATAGGCTGAGCACCAGACGGACCAATAACACGAGCACCGGCGAGCCGGGCGTGCCAACAGCGGAGACTGTGGACACAGGTTGTGTAATGAGAATACCCCCAGGGTTCCAGGACCCTTTCCACCCACATACTAATCTCGTCACATGGCTCCCAACCGATCAGATCTTGTGCCCTAAGTAAGCTCTTCATCTCCAAGCCTGAAGCTGCATCCCAGTGGAAACAAAAGGAAACCAGCATCACTAAGCAGCCATCAGGCTCCAGAGATCGAGCTGGGCATTCACATACTATCCAACCTGTGCTTCAAGACAGCTCTTCAGGGCAGTGATCGTTATCCCCATTTTACTGATGGGGAAACAGGGCTCAAAGAGTAGCATGTCAGAAGTCCTCCAGCCAGAGGGCAGGGCAGGGCAGGGCCGGGCCCACTCCCCCGTCCCACCCCTGCCGCCTGCCTTCGCATCCACACACTTGATTCCATTTATCCTTGATGCCTCCCACACTTTGTGGATTTTCAAACCTCATGGTGACAACAAGGAGAGCACATTTTATAGGGACATGTGACTAATTATGAATCCTTAGCACACCCCCTAATGTAGCAACTTCCACTTAACACCCCCACAGGACACTGCAGGTTAGTGCAGGGACACCTAAGAGAAACAAGGCAGGAGTGAGACCGGAAGAGAACTGGGGCTCTCAGAGGACCATGCGCCTGGTCTGTTCTTTCACCTGGCCATGAAGAACTGCAAACTTTTCACCTTCCCGGCCACACGAGTAGGGAGAGTTCCCCCTTGCTGGGAATGCCCGCCCTGTGGCTCACACGTGAGCTCAGCAACATGGCAATGGCGTTTCTTCTGGTCTTCATCCCAGCCCGATGAGCTGAGCCTCTTTTCCCCTTTCTACACAGCCGGGTCGGGACAGGGATACCACTCTGTGTCCCCAACGCCCACCTTCCCCCTACAGCCACGTCCTAGGGAGGCTGTAGCCCGCCGGCTCCCAGAGGCAGGCAGAGGGCCCGGCACAGATCAGCGTCCGTGCTCCTCAGGTGTCCGACGTGGCCTCTGGCCAACTTGGGTTTAGCTCACTGACACGACGACACAGAGGCCAACTGTGTGCCAGGCACTGCCCCACTAACACCTGGCTCACGGCATGCAGGTGGAACCGCCAGGCCCTCTCACCCAATGTCCACAGCAGCGTCCTGATACTCCCAGCAGCTTCCCAGCAGCTGGCCCAAGCCCCTGACCAGGTAGACAGAGCAGCCTCAAATGGCTTGGCTCAGGCACAGGCGGGGCAGAGCAGGGGCACCAGGGTCCTACCCTCCAAAGAACACCGCCACCTCCTTGGGCAGGCTTTCAGGCTTGGACTAAGTGGAGTCCACATCTGCCCAGCCCTTCAGCAAGCTCCTCGCCTGTCTCACATTCCCCATCCCTCACAACGGCCCCGCGCGAGCTGCCTGGGGTGGACAGGGCAAAGATTTGAGATTCATCGGCTCCGTCTGACACCTGGGGAAGATGAGGCTCAGAGTGGGAGGGCGGCTGCCCTGGAACCTCGAGGTTCACAGAGGGCCTGCGGACACCTGACGCCCGGCTCTGACACGCCAAGCCCTCACCCACCTGACCACACACACACTCTCTCTCTCCAGCTTTTTCTCTTAAAAATGGCTGCTCCCATCATTCAACCCACAGCTGTTTGTCCAAGGCAACCGGAAATTTTAATTATTACTTTAAACCATTTCTAGTAGTTTGCCTGCTAAATTCAAATATTATAAAGACAGCTTACTGCACGCCTTGGTTAGCCCAGGACAGTACTGGTCTGTGCCTATCCCAAGACCCCCTTGGTTTGGTATTTGCCATGGTCACCCTTGCTCCTCCCTGAGGGCCGAAGTCCCCAGCCCCAGTTCTTGTTTCCCCAGCCCTCTGGGGAAGGGTCTGGTGGAAGCCCCAGCTCCTTCTCCCGCCTGGAGGGGAGATGCTGGAAGGTGCCAGAACGCAGCCTCTTCTCTCCTCCTTAAGCCACCATTCAAGTTCTCCGAGGGAGAACTCGGAGTCAAGCATATTAGAACTCTTTTTGGACAATTTCCCTTTTGTATGTGTTTTAGACAAAGTTGCAGAGGAAAAGGAAGAACTTGGCCATAATAAAAACATTGCCCTCATAAGGTTTCCAGGTGGCCTGGGGTCACGGGCTTCCGGAGGCAGTGGGTTCCTCTCCAGCCAGGCTGCCCGCAGGTCAGGATCATGCGGAGCCCCCTGTTGAATACACTTCCAAGTAGACTGGGGCCGTGGGAGAGGAGCCATCACCCCATCTCACCGCGCTGTGCTTGTCCAGAGAGCCGCCCGCTCACCCCGGCTGTACGGTCTGCATCCTCACCACAGTGGCGCCCAACCAAGGCTGGCTCTGCAGGGCTGGCGGGAGCAGTGGGGCAGGGACAGGGCCTCCCCACTGCTCATGTTTCTAGGTGGCCGGAGTCAGCAAGTCAGGTCTGTGCCCGGGGCAGCTTCCAAGACTGCCTGTCAGAGCCCCCGTTTCCTGCCATTCCCCCACGCTGTGTGAAAAAGGTGTCCACATACGGCCATCCAGTCACAACCCAGGGACCCTAGCATCAGTGACACGTCCAGGCCTGGAGCTTGGCCTCGTGATCCCAGGGTTTGCACGGAAA